TTTGACCTCTACTACCAAAGATTCATTTTTTTCCCTGTTTTTAAGCTTTTTTTTTTAAAGATTTTATTTATTTATTTGACAGAGAGAGACACAGCGAGAGAGGGAACACAAGCAGGGGGAGTGGGAGAGGGAGAAGCAGGCTCCCCGCAGAGCAGGGAGCCCGATGTGGGACTCGATCCCAGGACCCTGGGATCATGACCTGAGCTGAAGGCAGTCGCTTAACCAACTGAGCCACCCAGGTGCCCCTCCCTGTTTTTAAGCTTTAAGTAAATGGGAATCACACAACAGATTTTTGTCTTTGTTTTTCTTTAAATAAGTGGGATGCATGCATTCTTGCTGTATGCAAGCATAGGATGTTCTTTTTCATTGCTGGGTAGAATCCCATTGAATGAATATGGTAGAGTTGTATATGTCCATTTTACTCCTGATGGACTTTGAGGTTGATTCTTTTGCTATTTGGAATAAAGCTGCCATGAATTGGTGCATGTCTTTTGGCAGACATATGTAGTCATTTCTCTAGAATATATGTATACTAATGAGAAATTCCAGAACTACACTGATTTAGCTTTTAGTGCAGATTTTGTCAAACACTTTTTGTCAGAGTGATTGACATAATTTACATTTCCACCAACAGTATTGAGAATTCCAGTGCTGCAGATACAATACTTGGTACTGTCAGTCCTTTCCATTAGTGCCATTCTCTTGAAGTTGTAGAGGTACGACATTGTTGTTTTCATCTACATTTCCCTGATGAGTAATGATCTGGAGAATATTTTTTTTCATATGATCATTGGCCACTTGAATACCATCCTGTTTTATTAAGTACCTATTCAAGTCTTGCCCCCTCTCATTTATTTATTTATTTATTTATTTATTTATTTATTTATTTATTTATTTATTTATTTATTTATTATTTTAGAGAGAGAAAAAGAGAAAGAGCAGGAGTGGGAGGGGCAGAGAGAGAGAGAGAGGGAGAATCTCAAGCAGACTCTGCAGTGAGTGCGGAGCCCAACTCGAGGCTTGATCCCAGGACCCTGAGATCATGACCTGAGCTGACACCAAGAGTCAGATGCCCAAACAACTGCGCCACCCCAGTGCCCCATCTTTTTTTTTTTTTTTTTTAACTAGACTGTCAGTTGGGAAGGGCATGAGGGAACTGCTGGGGCACTGGAAATGTCCCACATCTTGACCTGGATGGTGGTTTCACGGGTGTATATATGTGCATTAGGATTGGTGCTTCATGGTGCATTATATTTAAGAAATTATTGTCTACTAAGAACGTAAATATATTCCTCCTAAGTTTTCTTCTAGAAGCTTTACTGTTTAGCCTTTTGCATTTGGAGATTAGCATTTGAATCAGCAGACTGAGTAAGCAAGATAAACCCTCAGCAACATGGGTGAGCATTATCCAATCCAATCCATTGAGAGCCCTAAGAGAACAAAAGTGAAAGAAAAGAAATTTTCCCCTCTCCTTTCTTGAGATGGGACATCCATCTCTCCTGCCTTTGGACATCAGAGCTCCTGGTTCTTGAGCCTTCAGACTGAGACTGAATTATGCCACTAGCATTCCTGGTTCTCTAGCTTGCAGACAGCATAAAGTGGAACTTCTTGGTCTCCATAATTGCATAAACCCCATCTCTCTCTCTTTTTATCCTATTGGCTCTTTCTTTGTGGAGAACGCTGACTAATACAAATATCTGGGAGTTTAAATTCTCCAGCATTGTTGTTCAAAGTTGTCTTGGCTATTCAGGTGCTTTGTTAAATTGCAGTGGTTACAATGGCCATCCTTGTCTTGTTCTTAGACTCATATATAATAGTTCATCATTAATCATGGTGTTAGCTGTAGGGCTGTTTGTAGCTACCCACTGACTTTGGGGGAATTGAGCTAGAAATCAATAACAGAAAGACAATTGAGAAAAAAAAAAAAACCAAAGTTCAGAAATGAAGCAATATAATTAAAAACAGGGCTGGGACTAGGGTGTAGGGAAGCCAGGGGCCTAAAGAGCAAAGTGCCATTTTTGCACTTTCACAAACCTCTTAAATACTGTTCTCTCTGCTCATTATAAGATGGAGCTAAAGCAATTAGAAGGAATTCATATTTAAACTGCATATATTTGAAAAGAAGAAGGGTTGGGGTGGGCAAAATGGGTGAAGGGGATCCAGAGGTTCGAACTTTCAGTTATAAAATAAGTCATGGGGAGGTAATGTATAACCTGGTGACTATAGTTAATAATACCATAGTGCTTAATCCCATTGGATGAATATGGTAGGGTTGTATATGTCCATTTTATTCCTGATGGACTTTGAGGCTGATTCTTTTGCTATTTAGAATAAAGCTGCCATGAGTTGGTGCATGTCTTTTGGTAGACACATGTAGTCATTTCTCTAGAATATATGTATACTAATGAGAAGAGATTTACTAAGAGAGTAAATCTTAAACGTTCTCATCACAAGAAAAAGAATTTGTAGCTATGTTTGGTGATGGATGGATGTTCACTAGACTTATTGTGATCGTTTCGCAATATATACAGATATTCAAATATTGGATCGTTATGTTGTACACCTGAAACTAATATAATATTTATGTCAATTGTCCCTCAGTGAAGAAAAGGAGGGAAGAGAAGGAGAAGAAAGTTCGGAAAAATAATGATCTAAATCAGTGCTGTCGAGGGTGCCTGTGTTGGTTAAGTGTCTGTCTTCAGCTCAGGTCATGATCCTGGGGTCCTGGGATCAAGTCCTGCTCAGTGGGGAGTCTGCTTCTCCCTCTCCCTCTGCTGCTCTCTCTCTGTCAAATAAATAAATAAAATCTTAAAAAAAAAACCCAGTGCTGTCAACAGAAGTTTCTGCAGTGATGGAAATGTTCTATATCGGCTGTGGCCAGTATGCTACACGTGACTGCTGAGCCATTGAAATGTAGCTAGTATGACTGAGGTACCTGATTTTTAATTTATTTAATTTTGATTAATTTAAAATTAAATTTAAAGGTAAGGTAAACAAATCTTCCTTATAAATGAAGTCCAAATAATTTTTGTACTCTCAATGATTTGTGTATCTCATAGACACTCTCCCCTCAATGAGACTACATGTCCTTTCCTGAGGGTGGGCTAGATTAAGTGACTTGCCTCCAAAGAGTGGAATATGGAAAGGAGAAAAAAAGTAACTCTACAGTGGAGAAATTAGTGGTAAGTCACAGTGATACCATGTATCCCTGATGGTAAGTGATAAGGACATATCACCTCTGTAGTATCATTCTAAAAACCTATATCCCCAGTGTAACCATGAGGAAAACATCGAACCCATATTGAGACATTCTGCAAAATATCTGACCCTTAAGGATTCCTTAAAATTGTCAAGGTCATGAAAAACAAGGAAAGTTTAACAAACTGTCATAGACCTGAGTAGGCTAAGGAGACACTATGACTAAGTGCAGTGCAGTATCCTGTATGGGAATCTGGAACAGAAAAAGGACATTAGTAGAAAAACTAGTGAGAGTTGAATAAAGCCTGGAGCATAGTTAATAGCAACCTAATGAAGGATATTGAAGTAATTTTGAGGCCTAAAGGAGGTAATTTCCCAAATACACATTTTAGACATTGAAAATGCTTTCTCTGTATCTACATCCTCTTCATTTTGCCCATGGTATACTTCACTGAACAGAAATCCTCAAATGCAAAGGATCAATAATATTTAGACTGTGTGATCTGACCATAATACAACAAGATGAGAAATTTACAAAGGAATTGCTTTTTAAAATCCCACACATTTGGAAAATAAATACCATATTACTATATAACCCTTGCGTTAAAAAGAGAATTACCAGGGAAATTAAGACACACTTAGAATTGAAGGATAATGAACATATTATGAAGCAAAAATTATAGGATACAGTTAAATTGGTACTTAAGTAAATGAAGGTAAATTTATAGCATTACATATAAGAGAAATAACTGGGAGTTTACAAATAAACCACCTATGCATTTATCTCAAAAAATTGTAAAGAGGATAACTTCGTATGGCGACAGATGGTAACCACACTTATGGTGATTACTGTGTAATGTATAGAATGTCATATCGCTACACTGTACACCTGAAACTAATATAACATTGTATATCAACTACACTACAATTTAAAAAAAAACTTAAAAATATTGTAAAGAGGAACCACAGAACCTATAGAGATAATAAGAAAGTAAAGAGTGGAAAATATAAATGAGCTAGAGATGAAAATCGCCTTATAGTTTAACAAACCCAAAAGCTGTCTTTTTTTTTCCCCCCTTTTCGAAACATTACTAAACTAGACAGACCTCTGGCAGAAATGGCAATTTTAAAAAATCTGTAAAGGGCCAGATAGTACATATTTTAGGCTTTTGAATATGATTTCTGGCAATTGACAATACCTAAAGGAATGGGTATGTCTGTCTTCCAATAAAACTTTATTTATGGACACTGCAATTTAAATTTTATATAATTTTCACATGTTACAAAATAATATTCTCTTTGTGGTTTTTCTCAGACATTAACGAATGTAAAATTTATTCTTAGGTCGCTGCAAGCTATACAAAAATAGGTGCCAGGCTATTTTTGTATAGCTTGACTAGATGCAACATCAAGAGTATGGGCGTCAAGACTCAGTTGCGTGGTCAAGTTCTCTTAAACATGGGGCGGGCAGCTAGTGTTTCACGAAAAAGGGACCACACCTGAGGATTATGAGAACTAACCTCCAAGTGGGCAAACATACACCCTGATGGACTGGGAGCCTGCCCTTATCCTTGAACCCTGGTCGGCTCTGCAACCTTGGACCTCCCAAGACTCTTCCAGGGACTGAGGGTCATTGCTGACGCCCTCACCCCTTTCAGCCTGACCCCGCGCCCAGGGATCGCCACCGGGGGCGCCAGAGCGCGCGCAGGCGCCGGACCGGCCTCGCCGCCAATCAGATCGCAGCGCCCAGAGCCGCGCCGGCCTGGGGCCCCGCACCTGGCAGCCAATCACAGATCGCAGCGGGCGCGCGTGCGGAGGCGGTGGCGTCGGCGGCGCCGTCGGCGGCGCCTGGGGCCTGAGGAGGCGTCGTCCCCTCAGGCTTCGCCTGGGGAGCGCCTCGGGGCGGTGCGCCTCCCGCGGCTCAGGGACTGCTGCGGACCGGGGCCGGTAAGGATGGGGGCGTGGCGCGACCCCAGTGTTCCCAGAGGGGAGATGGGAGGGATTCCGCGGCCGCAGCCCCGCGGGCCACACCGCTCCTGGTCTCGCTCTGCCTGAGCGGCCTGTGCCTGTTGCTGCGGCCTCCGAAGGGAGTGTAGGGTAAGCGGCCTCTGGCGGGTCCTGAGACCCCCTTCGCGCACACCCCCTTACCCGATCTCCGCAGGCGCCTTTCAGGCAGCATCCCCTCCCCCACCCTGGCGTGCCGCCCCCATCCCCCAAGCCTGGGCCCAGCCTGGGCCTCCTGGAGAAGGGGCCGGCGCTGGCTCCTAGTACCTTCCCCTCCCCCGGCCCGCTGGGGTCTCTTGTGGAACTTAAGGCGTTTAAACGCCCCCAGCCAGCCTCCTCCCCGTTCTGGGCATCTGTCGGCCCAGACCCTTGAAGGCGATTCAAGCATTTGTGAATTCATTTATTGCTTCCTCGCCCCTGCCTCAGCGCCTTGTTAATTTTTCTGGTTTACTGTATCTCTGCCTGGACTCTATTTCAGACTCTTTCACCCTAGTGAAGTCCTCCTGACAGCCAGGACCCGGGGTGGTTTCCAGGCTTTGGATCTGGGCGGTTGGCAGGCATAGTGTTTTCTTTACTGAGAGAGGGTGGATGGGAGGAACAGGTGTGGGGGAAAGGACACCAATTCTCTTCTGGTTAAGTGGGAGATGCTTAATGAACATCCAGATGGCAATGTCAGGTAGGCAGTGGGGTATAAAATATTCCTGTAATGTGTAAGTAGCCCTAATCCTCCTCTACGGTTGCCTCAAGGATGTGACCTTCTCCTGCCTGGAATAGCTCAAGTTCTTAGAAGTTTCAATGCACACCTGAGGTAAGACGAGAGGTCTTTATAAGGACCAAGACTGTACCACTTTTCTTCAGTTTTCTCTTATTTTCTTCTGTGTTACTGTTCAGACAGTGTTTCCTGAGTGTGTATGACCTGAATATGTCAGATAAATTCAAGCCAATCACTGATTTAGGTAATTCTGGAGCTCTCTATATTGCTTCCTTAAAAACAGGGAGGGTGGCATTCTTTCACCTGCTCTCTTGAAAGGAAAAGGAAAGTAAGAGGATCAGACATTTAAGCTATGTAAAACGGACTTCTTTTACAATGGTAGTAGGAGGCTAAAATGGGCTGTTTTGCATACCTAAGATTTCAGCTAATGTATTAAGTATTAAAGTGGTTCATTCAGGGTAAATGTGTATTGGTTAAAAATGATTACATAGGTTTGCTTTGTTCATTTCTACAACCTTTTCCTAAGGGCTTTATTTCATGAAGTAATTGAATGTGACTGGGTAGGGGAGGCCATATGAATTCATTTCATGCCAGTAGGCAAAACAGTAAGTAAGTTGTATGCCCAGTAACTTGTGTATATAGCGCAGTGAGACCCATTATATAGTTAGTTATCTATTGCTGTGTAACACATTGTCTCAAACTTAATGACCTAAGAAATGTTTATTTCACTGTCCTACTCTAGAATCTAGGACTGGTTTAGCTGGGTGATTCTGGCTCAGGGTATCTTATGAGGTTGTAGTGAAGCTTTTGGCAGGATTGGCCGTCTCTGAAGACTTGAGTTTTGTTGGATGATCAGTGTCTGAGCTTGCTCACTTGACTGTAGTTCTTCACTCTGTGGGCCTCTCTATGGGGCTGCTCCTGTCATGGCAGCTGGCTTCCCTCAGAGTGAGTGATTCAAGAGAGAGCTTGCTCCCAAGATGAAGTGCAGAGTCTTCTTCAAAAGTTGCATACCGTTACTTCTGTATTTGCTTAGTCACATAGGCTAACCCTGTGATAGTGTGGGAGAGGACTACACAAGAGTGTGAATACCAGGAGGCAAGATTCATTTGGGGCCATCTTGGAGACTGGCTACCACACCCATTTATCCACCATTCCAATTCTTTTCCATATTGTTCTGTTATTATGAGTGAATTATTTGGCTCCAGGCTAAGGGCAAAACCTCCCCTTGTGTACTAAATCCAAGCAGTTTTTGTTTACTCGAGAATATTGTTCCAGCAAGTCTCCTCTTTGTCCTGGATTAAGTTTTCAGTTTCTCTGGATCATTCTCATCAACGAACAGACTGATTGTAATGTCACCTCTCATTAAAAATCCATCTTTTAATTGCACATCCCCCTTCTGCCAATTTTATTTCATATTTGCTTTTCATTAGAGGAAAATTTCTCCAGAGTTGTCCATATTTGCTTCCTCCAGTTCTCCCATTCTCCTTTAAATCCACTCGTGTTAAGATCACCAGTGAATTCCACAGTGCTTAACCCCAATGGTCAGTTGTTACTTTTTTTTAAGATTTTATTTATTTATTTGAGAGAGTGAGAGAGAGAGAGAGAGAGAGAGTGAGCACCAAGGGAGAGTGAGAGAGAGAAGCAGACTCCCCACGGAGCAGGGAGCCTGTTGCAGAACTTGACCCCAGGACCCCAAGATCATGACCTGAGCCGAAGGCAGATGCTTAACTGACTGAGCCACCAGGCGTTCTGAATTGTTAGCTATTAATTTATGTGATCTATCGCAGCATTTATCAGAGTCACTCATTTCTTCTTCCCTGAAAATAATTTTTCATTTGGATTACAACATGCTTTTTCTCCATTCTCCTTTTATCATTCCCCACCCCCCCACCCCTAGTTGGCTCTAAGTAACTCTTCCTTCTTCGTATCCTTTTCTGGTTTTTTCTCATGTTTCTGACCTCTAACCAATGGAATGCTCCAGGACTTGGATATCAGACCTTTTTCCCTAGATGACCTCATCCAGTCTTGTGTTTTAAATAACATTACATGCCAAAGACTCCAAAATTTGTGTACTTAGCCCAGGTCTTTCCCTGAGCTCTGGTCTCATATTTACTTGCTCAGCATCACCCCTTATATGTGTCATCCTTTTCTTCCCATCCCAAATCCAATCTATCAACAAATCTTGTGGACCTTCAGGTTTTGATCTAGAATTTGACCCCTTCTCAGTATCCCTGTCTTGTATTATAATAATCTTTTGTCTTTATTATTTCAGTAGCCTCTTAACTTGCCTTCCTGCTTCCAGTTAGTACTTTCTAAAGTCTTATTTTTTCACACAGCAGCCAGAGTAATCCTTTTGAAATGAAAGATCATATCACTCCTCACTCAAAATTCTCAGTGACCTATTATACTCAGAGTAAAAACCAAAGAACTTAGAATGGACTACATTAACATACTACAACAAACTCATTCTTTGATCTCCTCTCCAGTTTCTCTCCCTTTCCATTGGCTTGCCTATGTTAGCCTCTTGACCAGTCCTTAAATTTGGTAAGCATGCTCCAGTCTCAGAGCCTTTGTATTTGTTCTTCCTTCTGCTGGAGAATTCTTCCCCAGATCTCCATAACCATGCCATACAAATATCAGCCTGCCTTCATACTACCTGGCTCATTTTTGCCTTTATTTTCTCTATAGCATTTATAACCATTTGAAATTTTATATATATGTATACACACATATAATAATATAAAATGTTTTATATGTTTTATACTACATTATGTATTGAAATATGTAATATGTGATACTATTAACATTGCACGCAATAACATTATGTGTGTATATTTTCTTAAATGTATTTTCCAGTTACCTCTATTGCAGTGTCAGCTCCCTGAAGAAGGGGTCTTTGTTTCAATCACTACTATATCCCCAGTACCTAGACCAGTACCTGGCATATGTTAGGATCACCAAATACTTCCTAATACTCAAATTCCTCACAAAGACTTCTTTTTTTTTTTTTTAATTTTTTTTTTTTTTTAAAGATTTTATTTATTTATTTGAGAGAGAGAGAATGAGAGACAGAGAGCATGAGAGGGAGGAGGGTCAGAGGGAGAAGCAGACTCCCTGCCGAGCAGGGAGCCCGATGCGGGACTCGATCCCGGGACTCCAGGATCATGACCTGAGCTGAAGGCAGTTGCTTAACCAACTGAGCCACCCAGGCGCCCCTCACAAAGACTATCTTGATGTTTCTCCCTCCCCTTTTCTCTGTTAGGGGTTAGGGTTAGGAGATTGTCAAAACTGTATGATTCTTTATGATTATGCTCTTGTGTCATTTCTTTGTTTCTCAGTCTTTTGTGGACAGGAATATGTTCCAATTCTACTAATTTAATATGTTTTATAGTTGTAGTTCATCCAAAATCGTGAACATCAGAACATTACCAACCTTATATGTATGACCACTCATAGAACTTATGATGATCTTTCCATAGAGTAACAATTTCTCCCTAATTTCTTAAAGAAAGGGAGAGAGAGAGAGAGAGAGAGAAAGAAAGAAAGAGAAAGAAAGAAAAAGAAATTCCCCCCTCCTCCTTTTTTTGCACCCAGAAGTTCTAACACAGCATTATTATGTTAGGGTCCATTTGATATGAAAAAAAATAATAGTGACTATCATATTTTGGTTTCATAACACTTAAAAAATTTGGGTACAAGTTATTTTAAGCCATCCTTTGTAAGTTCCGTACACTTATCAACCACAATATTCTTAGGTGCATTCCTTATTCTTTCCTTTAAATGTATAAATTAGTCATTTGATTAAGCATTAGAATTGTATACATTTGAAAACAAACTATGGATGCTTTGTGGAAGTCTTACCAGGATTTTTCCTTTGGGAGCTTTCCAATAGCAGGGAGATATATGTTACATAGAGATTCATGACAGGGCACATCTAGTGTGCATAGAATATGCTCTCACCACTTTCACAACTTCCAGATTCCTTACAAGTAGGTTGATTAATTTATCACTGAAATTGTTTTATTAATGGGGGAGGAAGAGAGAGAAAATAAGCACAACTTCCCTGTGAGCACAGAGCCCGACATGGGGCTTGATCTTACAACCCTGAGATCAGGACCTGAGCTGAAATCAAGATTCGAATGCTTAACTGACTGAGCCACCCAGACGCCCTGAAATCGGGGTATTTTTAAGAGTGAAAAGTGGCACTTTTAAAAAATACATGGGGGGGGGGGGCGCCTGGGTGGCTCAGTCATTAAGCGTCTGCCTTCGGCTCAGGTCATGATCCTGGGGTCCTGGGATCGAGCCCTGCATCGGGCTCCCTGCTCAGTGGGAAGCCCGCTTCTCCCTCTCCCACTCCCCTTGCTTGTGTTCCCTCTCTCGCTGTGTCTCTCTCTGTCAAATAAATAAATAAAATCTTTAAAAAAAAATACATAGGGGCAAGAGGTCAAACTCGATTGTCCCGGTCAAATCAGGATATTTAGCAGTCCTAATCATAATTGATACCTTAGTATCAGAGTGGTGTCCACTCTACTATCTATCCAGAAGATATCCATCTATCTAGATGTCCTATCTATCTAGAAGATATCCATCCATCCCTAGGAATGTATACCTCCCCACTACAAATTTGTAAGCTGACCACTTGATACTAGTTTAACTCTCTTTATGGGCTAGATTAGTTTGCCTTGTTACCATAATCCTAATTACCTAATTCTTGTTACATGAATGGAGTCTGTTTAGAGGCTTTGAAAATTTAGTATCAGTTGTTGGGATGTGTGGGGTGGGGGGGGGGCGGTCACACCAGCCTATTGCTAGGCATTTTTTTGTTTGAGATATAATTCACATACTATACAGTTCACTCAGTAGAATGCAAAATTGAATGATTTTTAGTATATTCACAAAATAGTGCAGTCTTTACCACTATCTAATTCCTGAACATTTCATCAACCCTAAAACCCTGTATTAGTTTCCTGTGGCTACTATAACAAATTACCACAATCTTGGTGGATTAAAACAACAAAAATTTATTCCCTCTCAATTCTGGAGGCCAGAAGTTAGAAATCAGTTTCACCTGACCTAAATCAGGGTGTTGGCAGGGC